GAAGTATCACACTAGTTGTAGAAGTGTGAGTTAAGGAAAATATACTCAGTACCATTGAAGCATCGCGCTAGTTGCAGAAGTTATGCGAGATGGAAATAGGCTCAGCACCACGTGATTATGTCGTATTGTTAGTGTTTATCTTCGTTCTTAATTTTACCAAGTCATTACATGTCAACATGTTATGCGCTAAATGGTCCGTTGATTCCGATTTCAGCCTACTTTTTAATTCTGGATTTGCTTCCATAGTCTTTGTCTACCCAAAGAATTATCTTCAAGGGATCATTCGTTTCTTTTGTTGTTGTTTTTTTTTTACTTTTTAGCGCAATTTCCATTCTGGAGCATTGCGTTTATTAACCCGTCATTTCTGGATGTATGAATGAATGGATGGATGGATGGATGGATGTGTGTCCGCAGCTTTAAGTCGTATCTCCTCCTCAACGAAGCAATATCGATGACTAGTTCCAAAAGCAATTATGTTAAGCAAGTTACGAGGATGAACATAGGCCATAAAAATTTCGGGTTTCTTTCATGGATTTCCCGGAAAAGCCAAAAAACCTCGGAAAAAAGCAGTTTTTGGCCCATATCTCGACAACCAGACAACTTAGCGACTTGAAACATGTACCAATCGATTCCTGCCATAATTTAGAACAATTTTGCCGAAGAAAGTTTTCAAAAATATCCTTTCGTTTGGTCACAAAAAATTTTTTGAAATAATTAAAATTTGGACCGAATTAGTAGGCATTTTATGCAACCACACCACACGCGTCATCACGTTCAATAGCTGCGCCATCACGTTCAATGGCTGCGACGTCACGTTCGGTAGCTGGGCGCGCAATGGTTTTTAGTCATGTTACTCTATTGCAAATAAAACATGTAAAATACTGAAAATTTTTTAATAAAAAACGTTTTAATAACTAACCAATGGTTTTACTAACCCTGCTCTTGATTTACGCTACGACAGAGCTATTTTTAGATAACACAAGGAAATTGCGCTAAAAATTGTCACTAGACTTTTTTTAATTACTTGTTTTAACAAGAGTAATCCCCGGAAAATATGAAGTCTTGAAAAAAAAAATACAGAATTGAAGTTCATTGTCACAGATTTATCAGGAGTTGGATTTTTTGTTTGTTAAGTGTCAAGTGATCCCATTGAAACGAAAATTTTACAAGGAAATATTTTGAGTGGGTCATTTATTGAAATATCTTTATTTGTTTATTTGTTTGTTTTCTTTTTCTTTTTTTTCTTTTGCAATTTTCTTTTTTTAGATCGGTTACTGTCCGCATCTAACAAACTGATAGCGCTGGCCATGCAAAAGTAACACTTTATTATGGGGGGGGGGTCTTGTTAGTTTAATGTGCGAGTTATGCAAGAAGTGACGTAACAGTGACTTGCATACTGTGCAGACAGTTTTGGCTAACACACATACGAGTGTTGTCAAATATTGGACTGGATAAAAACGAGGTCATTGAACTCGGGGTTCAATGGTTGAATCAGCCTTCACAAAAAATGTTGTATCTTGTAAGAAAAGGCGGGTAGAATAATAGTTGGTTATGTATAGATCGGCTAGGTAGAGTTCAGTCTAAACTTGGATGTCCGTTTTCTGGGACAAGTAAAGAGGGGTGTGGTTTTTAATGTGGGGGAGGGGGATAAATACAGATGTAAAGTAGGGTGGGGTATACAGGGATAAAGTGGGTTCTGGGGTAAAGTGTGATGTGTTTAAAGTGGGATGTGGGTTAAAGTGGGATGTGGGTAAAGTGTGGTGTGGGGTAAATTGGGATGTGGGGAAACGTAAGTGCTAGACAAAAAGGGTTGACCCTAACTAACTTTCTTTGAGACTCCAATGTTGATGTTAAACCTGTGGAGCCAACATATAAAGTTGTTGTTATAGCAAACTTACAATTGTTGTTACACCTGGACACCGAACATATAAAATTGATATTACACATGTAGTCGACATATCTAGTTAATGTTACACCTGTACATATAAAGTTGATGTTACAGCTAACATATAGAATTGATATAAAGCCATCGTATAAAATCAACCTCTGAAAATCGACCATCACTACATATACAATCACTAGCTGTACGATAACTACCTGTACGATCACTACATATACCACCACTACCAGTACCAACACTACCTGTACTACCTGTACCATCAATACCATCAATACCTACACGATCTCTATATGTATAATCACTACCTGTACATTCACTACCTGTACAATCACTACCTGTACAAACCACCAACCTGTACGACCACCAACCTGTACGACCACCAACCTGTACGACCACCAACCTGTACAACCACCAACCTGTACAACCACCAACCTGTACAACCACCAACCTGTACAACCACCAACCTGTACAACCACCAACCTGTACAACCACCAACCTGTACAACCACCAACCTGTACAACCTGTACAACCACCAACCTGTACGACCACCAACCTGTACCACCAACCTGTACCACCAACCTGTACACCCACCAACCTGTACAACCACCAACCTGTACAACCTGTACAACCACCAACCTGTACAACCACCAACCTGTACAACCTGTACAACCACCAACCTGTACGACCACCAACCTGTACAACCACCAACCTGTACCACCAACCTGTACAACCACCAACCTGTACGACCACCAACCTGTACAACCACCAACCTGTACAACCACCAACCTGTACAACCACCAACCTGTACAACCACCAACCTGTACAACCACCAACCTGTACCACCAACCTGTACCACCAACCTGTACGACCACCAACCTGTACGACCACCAACCTGTACAACCACCAACCTGTACAACCACCACCCTGTACCACCAACCTGCACTACCACCAACCTGTACAACCGCTACCTGTAAGACAGACTGTTATCACACCCATGATGTAAGGCTGTTGACTGTCCATGAAGAAGTACCAAGTACGTGGCCAGGACTAGTGCTCTAGATCTGGATCTACTTGTCCAAGCAAGTTGACTAAAAAACTGGGGCCAACTTTTTTCATACGCGCATTCTCTCTTGGAGTACATAGCTAAGTTGCCAGAGACAAATTTTGACATTTTCGGCTGGTAAACTTGACAGGATCTAACTAAATTTGAGCGAGGTTTGTTTTTGTCTTTTGTTGTTGTTTCGTTTGTAACTTTATTAAATTTTTAAACATTTTTCTTCAATGTATCTGTAGAACAAATATTTGATCTGATAACTAATGTAATATTTGTTCCGTGAAAGTTTTGATACATCTTGAACTTTGACTGTTCGGGTACTGGATCAGGTTATAGGGGTTTGTGTGTATTGATTATAACTTTTTTTTTCTTTAGTATCCGGAAAATGTCAAGACATAGACGGCATTTTGGGATGGTTTTTTTTTTTTTTTTTAAATTGTTATGTTGGTGTTTTAGCTTTTGGTGGGTAATTAGACGGACATTTTCATCCAAGTTGCTATCGACTTGTTGGTTAATTCTTTTGGTTAATTTTGTTGGTTAAACGTGATTTTTAATAGTGATATTTAAATCGTGATGGGTGATCGTGATGTTTAATCGTGATGTTAAATCACGACAAGTGATCAGAGGCGTAGCGACCCTTCCGGCGCCCGGGGCAAACTTTTCGATTTGCACCCCCCCTCAAGATTTCGATTTGCACCCCCCCCCCCTCAAACTTTCGATTTCGATATGCACCCCCCCCCTCCCCCACTCGAGATTTCCATTTGCACCCCCCCCCCCTCAACCTTTCAATTTATTTTTCCAACCCATTTTGGCGCCCCTAAGGTCGGGGCCGGGGGACATATGTTCCCCCCCCCCCCGCGCTACGCTACTGCAAGTGATCGTGAAAATGGTTGCTTTGCTATTTTATTATTTTAACTATTCCTCTGCATCTATTGTTATTTATTTATTTTAATCCACTGTAAGGCTTACTATTCTAAAGGGTTTGCATTCATTTTATTTATTTATTTATTTTTACTTTTTAGCTGTATGCTTTTTAAAGATTAAAACGGCAATTCCATACTAAAAAAAAACAGTCAAAAACAATTAGTAACTCATTTATTCATGCCATTATGTTTTTATTCTGGAATTATCTGCCTTAAAATCCGTAAATAGCTTGCATTCTTTACTCTAGAAACGCCACTTATCTCCCCTTATTATCATCCGCGGTGGTCGCCCCTGTGTAAAAAACATCCGTCAACAACAGCTCGCCCATGTCACGTGGTTGAGCGAGCGATCACGGGAATTTATTATCTCCCATTTAGTTCATTAATTTGTAATGGCTAATTAAATATCAATTAGGATGATTTAAAATAAGAAATTATATATTGGCATTGGAAAAGGATATTTATTTATTTGGAAAGTTTAAATGAAATCGTTGGATTTGAAGTGCATCTAATTAGACTTTAACATTTTATCCACCCACAGAAAATAGGAGTAAGCTGGCTTTGAGTCTCTAAGGGAAGTTTTTAAAATTGCGGCATCAATTAACACGCTAATTTTAAGGGAGAGTTTGAGTTTGATTTGAAGAATGGGAATCTGTTACAGTGTGTCATGGCTAGGTATGGGATTGGCTAGAAATGGGAGGGGCTAGAAATGGGTGGGGCTAGAGATGGGTGGGGCTAGGTATGAAAGGGGCTAGAAATGGGTGGGGCTAGAAATGGGTGGGGCTAGAGATGGGTGGGGCTAGGTATGAAAGGGGCTAGAAATGGGTGGGGCTAGAAATGGGTGGGGCTATAAATGGGTAGGGCTAGAGATGGGTGGGGCTAGGTATGAAAGGGGCTAGAAATGGGTAGGGCTAGAGATGGGTGGGGCTAGGTATGAAAGGGGCTAGAAATGGGTGGGACTAGAAATGGGTGGGGTTAGAGATGGGTGGGGCTAGGTATGAAAGGGGCTAGAAATGGTTGGATATGGAGAAGTGGGCGGGTTCGAGGTGGGAGGGACTGGATATGTGAGCGAAATGTCAATCAATTGAGAGCTCCTAGACTGGATTGATTGAACCAATGATCATAGTTCATTAAAATGATCGAGCTAATTAAACAAGTAATTAATTCTAATTATGGAACCAGTCACGGAGGGAAACGTTTATTGGGGTAGAATGACACCAAATACAAAACAATCTTTAAATTTAATTAGAAAAAGGATATTCTAATAGGGCCATCTAATTGAAAGTCTATCAAATAGATCCGGCTGCAACAAAAGGAGGGGCGAAGGCAATTTTTTTTTAAATAAAGTTAATTAAAATTTAACATGCTTAGTAGAGTTGAGTCAGTACAGCGACCGTATTAAATTACCGAGTGGCGTAGCGAGGTCGGGTGTCAACGGGTGCGGCACTTAATGGTGTCACCCCCCAGAGGTGTAGCGACCCTTCCCGGCGCCCGGGGACAAACTTTAAATTTTCGATTTGCACCCCCCCTCCCCCATCCTTGTAGGGATTTGTCAAATTAGGATTTAAAAGACTCTTTAACACTCGAATTAATCAAGTAATTAAGTGGAATTATCATTTTTCTCTATATATTTTGCTATTTTTTGCCTTGGTGTCACCCCCCTAAATGGTGTCACCCGGTGCGGTCCGCACACCCCCCCCCCGCCCCGCCCCCCCCCCCCCCCCCCCGTCGCTACGCCTGTGAAATTACCCACCCAACCCACCCCATTACTTCAACTCTACTTTCAGTTTTCCTAAAAAAAAAATTAATTAAAACTCAATTAAAACCCCAAGAATTTTTGGCAACTACATCAAGACCAGTTTGGCCGATATAATCTAAAAACTTCACCGTTGTTGATTAGATCTATTGTTACTTGCTTAAACATGGCGCCATGTTGGTTCATCCGGGGCTGACAAAGCCTAGGGGTGGGGGGGGGGGGTGTAGGTGGACTTGAGAGAATCTGGAATGTAAACATTAGACCAACACGACACTGTTGCATCAAACTTAGGTGGAACTGTAGGACGGCGTGGAGGTGTTCAAGTCAGTATAACGTCCCTGAGTTTACTCAGCTTTAATGGGTACCTGACTCACGTTACGGAAAGTAAAAATCGGCTGTGCGTAGTGCTGACCACACTATCTCTTTATATGGCGAGGTCACAGAAACAGGTGAACTCTACTCCATTTTCTCCGTCTACCGTCGGGTTTAAAAGTAAACTTTAGTTTTACTTTTTAGGTGGAACTTGATTGAACTTCCAACTTTCAATGTCAAATTTGGTTAAACACAACTTTGTTGTTGTTTTTTTTTTTAATTGATAAAAAAGTGATACTGTCTTAAATGATAGTTTCACAATTCAACTTGCTTTTCATTTTTAAATGCTCCATCGTCTTAGAGTCAATTATCCTAAGTTCTGATTTGTTTCTCCGTTTTGATAAGTCAATTATCCTAGGTTCTATACTGATTTATTTTTCTGTTATGATAAGTCAGTTATTCTAAGTTCTATACTGATTTGTTTCTCCGTTTTAATAACTTACCTCCAGCTAGTTGATGGCTTTGTGTGCGTGTCGATATTTGCTTTACCCTATCTTCTCTCTTTCTCTCTGTCTCTTTCTTTCTCTTTCTTTCTCTCTCTCTCTCACACTCTCTCTCTCGCAACCCAAAGTTATGCATGAGTTCTCCTACCACCTCAAGTAAACATCACCTACCTGAGATAAACAAATCACATTCAATTTTTTCAAATCGTTTTCTTCCTTTTTTTCCCCACTATTATTAACTCGTTCATTAACTTTTTTCTCCATTGTTTGACAAACGTTTCAACGATGTGGTTGTGTTTTGGCGTTCTGTTCTGATACTTAGTTACAATAGCTCTTTCTTAAACTTATCTGCCTAGCCGGCCTGATTTACTTAATTATCTCCCTGCTTGTCAAATATTAAAGCATGCTGGCGAAGTTTACAACAGTGACATACAAGTGCTAGACTCAGCCTTTCAAATGGTAATTTTTTCTTGCTCTTATCAAATATATGACTCTATAATGGTTCAAAACACAAACATATATCAATTGTGATAACGTGGGCCTACTAGTTTCATTTTTAGTTTTGGTCCTTTTCAAAAACTCGGTCTGTTCATCGCGAGGCATGTAATTTTTGTAGTAAACGGAATTTTAGTTTTTATTTTATCAAGAAAAGTTTCTTTAGCTCAGGTATGTGGGTTCAAAACCAAAAAGTAACTCCCACACATAAGAGACTATGAGTGCCTAGCGTTTGTGTAAGCGCATGCTTGTCTTAGTGACGTTCGTGCGGGGACACATGTGTAATGTTGGCAATTAACACATCGACACATCAACACGCGAACCTAGAGTGTGGACAACTCGACGGTAGGGGCCTACTGTGTAGCTTAAATCTGTAATCTACACACACAAATACATACATACACACCCGCATATATACATATACATATATATATATATATATATATATATATATATATATATATATATATATATATATATATATATATGTATATGTATATATATATATATATATATATATATATATATATATATATATATATATATATATATATATATATATATATATATATATATATATATATATATATATATATATATATATATATATATGTATATATATATATATATTGTTTATGTTGTTCTTTTCTTTGTTGCTTCCTTTTTCCCAACATTTTAATTAGTAAAAATTCAGTAATTTTTACCTTGAACAACAAATAATTCTTGTCCCATGAGGTGCACTATATATATTTTTTTTTAAACTAAAGAATCCTCTTTAGATCTAACGACCCATTGGGAAGATGAAGTAGAGTTCATATGTTTCTTGACCTCGACATAGGGAAGGTGTGGTCAGCATTCTTCCTAAATATTAGTAAAGGTAACCAAGAGATAATATTTTTGTGACCCACGCTTTTCTTTATAGTAGTTTAAATAGTAGTGTTATCTATATCTATATATATAATTCTCTTCTGGGAGACGTTAGAAAACAAGCTGTAAGCGCGCTCCCTACCACCCCACCCCTACATGGTCTGGTGAGCTGTGGTTCACTCTATGGTTACATTCGTGGAGTTGGATTTAGTGACGGCTATTAGGGGCAGATAATTTAGTTTGAAACGATTTTAAACTTAGAGGAGGTATTTAAGAGGAGGCTGCTTTCACGGGGGGGGGGGTGT